CAGCCTCCCAAACCTTATTATGTCCAAAAATTAATTTGTTTTTGCCGTATTATTTTACTTTTATAAAAATTATTTTTTTTGTTTTAATTAATTTTTTAATAGTTTTAGATAGTTTTAAAGTGATGAGATCAGAAATGAATTTTAAAAATAATAAAATTATTATTATTTTAATATATTAAAAAAAAACAACACTTTAAAAACTAACCAAAATAACAAACACTGCCTCATGCAGTGTAAGAATGAGAACTGGTCACTCTATCAATTCTGGTTGGGTTGGCTTGTAGTTTTTACTTCGCATGCTCTGTCCTCCTCCTTGTTTCAACCTTGGATTTCTAAATTTGCTGGTTGAATAGCATCTTGTACTTTTTTTCCTTTGTTGATACAGTCAATGTTAGACTGGTGGAGACGCTATACTGCAGGTTCACATTCTTTTTCCAGTAAGATATTTAGGCATAGAAAGCATGTTAACTTTTTTTTAAAAAAAATTAACAACTCAGATTATAGTCCCAATTAACTAAATAAACTAGTCTTATTTAAATTATATATATCTAAAAAATAAAAAACGATAACAAAGAATATATATATATATATATATATATATATATATATAAACAATTACAATGACATGAGAAAAAAACCTTTATCGAAGAGCTAAATAACAGATTACACACCTAATTGTATTTAATTAATTAATTAATTAAAATTAATTTATAATAGAAATCAACTGACATCATTAATTAATTAATTTATAATAGAAATCAACTGACATGTAAAATTTATTTTATATATATATATATTATGCAAAGCTATGCATACTAAAAATATATATAAAAAAATCTAATCTATATAAAATATAAAAAAATTACAAATGAATCATATTAATGTTTTAAAAAACTAAACACACGTAGTATAATTAAAAAATAATTGTTATTTAATAAAATCTAAATAAGCAAAAAATCACAAAGAAGATATATTAATTAAAATATAAATATAAAAATAATTTAAAAAACATAAAAAATATATTAAAAATGAAATATTTTTGAAAATATAAGTCCAATAGATGTGGGTTAATAAACAAATTCAAGCACTCAAACTGCAAGTTCAGATCCATTCGAGTGTATTTTTATTTTTTATTTTTAAGTTAATGTGGTAAAAAGTATGTTGTTTGTTTTGTTTTTTAATAATAAAAAAAAAAGAAAACAATATGTCATCTATAATTCCCTAGATTCTAGCCACTATGGTTACAAAAACAAATAGGGTTCTTATTTTGTTTTTTTCATTTAAAAATCTATTTTTAACCTAAACCATCTAGTATATACTTTTGGAACTTTATCAAACTAATTTATAGTCTCAAAAAATCACTCTAAAAACTATAATTAATCTGAGATAAAAAATATCCCTGAGCTCATATCTATTTTTCTAAGCATTTTCAAGGTAAAAAACACATATAACCTTAACTCTCTTTGTGTTTATACTATAATTTAGCAACATGGTGCACCCCATCAAAAACATTATTATTTGTGTTTTTATTGGTGAAATGCAGGTGCAACCATAGTGTACCATTAGATATGTTACCCATATATTGCTGCGACCTAAACAAATTTTTTTAATGTAAAAGAAGTGAGTTGTGACCCAAACAAAGTTTTTTAATGTAAAAGAAGTGATTAATAATTTTTTTTAATGTAAAAGAAGTGATTAAAAAAATCAACAAATTTTTTTAATGTAAAAGAAGTGATTAAAAAAAAATCAAGCTCCGAGTCATTGGTTAAATTGACAATTCAAATATTTATGAAAAAACCAACAATAATAAATAAATTGACAAGAAGACAACAACAACAAGAAGAACCACACCCAAATCTATTCAAATTATCAAACAACCCGATACTAACTTAACTATAGAAAATAGAGCCAAACTTATATAAAAAAAAACCATCAACTTAAAGAAAGGGAAGAAAAACTAAACGAACCTCCTAAACCTAATCCAATCTAAAAAATTATAACTTGTTAAATTATGAATTAGAGTTCAATTAAGAAACTTAAATATTATCCAATTTAATTTTAAAGGATGGAATCATTGTGAAAATTATAAATAAAAAAACTTGCAAAAGAAAAAGAACAATAAAAAAAATAAGGTTAAAATCTAACATGAAAAAAATCAATGAGGATGAAATTCAAAAAAGAATTATTGCAAACAAAAAAAATTACAATTAAGAGAATTAGGACAAACTTGAAAGATTAAAAAATCATAGAGTTAGAAATTAAAAATCATTTGTAATATGATCGAATATATAGAAATTAAAAGATGGTGGGGTGAAATAAAAAATAATTGTTAAGGGCTAACCCAACAGAATCAAACTGAAAAAAAATAAGAATACAAAAGTAAAAAGGAACTAAACCAAGGAAAATAACAAAATAAAAGTTAAGAAAATGAAAAAAAAAATAAGACAACATCAATTTAGGAAAAAAAGAAAGAAATAGGGCAAACCTCTTAAATTTAGTTTAATCTCTAAAAGTTTCATTTTGTTAAATTTTTTATCCAAATTCAATTAAAAAGTATAATCTTCAATCAATTTTATTTGAAGGATGGGATTTGGTAGAAAAGTATTAATAAAAAAACATGTAATTTGATAAGAAAAACCCCAAGATGATACAATTTAATGAAAAAAATAAAAACAATCCCAAATAAAATAAATATCAATTAAAAAAACTAAATTTTAAAGATTAAAAAAATCATAGAGGGTGAAATTCAAAATATATGTAAAAACAATACGAACAAAAAAAAATCATAAACATGGCCAAATCTTAAAAAAAATCGCAACCTATTAAGCCTCAAGCGAAACTGACAGCCAACCCGGGTCTACAAATCAAACACATGACCTATGACATGAAATTGAGATATCCTTATGCATAGGAAAGCAAAAAAACACTAGCAAATTTTTTTTAAAAAAAATACTTTAAAAAAGAAGAAAGTCGACTAAGGTTTATCCTTTAAATCTATTATTTAGGTCATAAGACTAAGTGACTCTATTAAAGTCAAACTCGAAAAAAACAAAGAAGCAAGATTCTTAATCAAATAAAACTTAAGGGATGAAATTGAGAAAAACAATCAATATAAAAACAATGCAAAAAAATTGTAATTAAAGAATTAGGACTAAATTCGATATAAAAAATAAATAAAATTAATTTTATGGGGGAAAACCAAATAAAATTAAATGTTCAAGGATGAAATTGTACAAAACAAATTCATTAAGAAAATGATTAAAAAAATAGCAATTAAAAAAATTATAACCAAATTTGACATAAAACTTAAATGAAAATAAATGTGTAGGAGTGGAATTGAAAAAAAAAACAATTAAATCAAGAAAATGATTAAAAAAACATATAGAAATTTAAAAGAATCATCAAATTTGAAAACAAATTAAAAAAATCAAATAATTAGGGATGAAATTGAAAATAAAATACAATTAGAAATACTCAATATAAATAAAACGATTACCAAGAAGAGAAGAAGGATTGAATCAAAAGAAAAAATAAATTGAAAGACTATTATGAATTTTTGTATGGTCAGTACATAATTCAAGAAAGAAAGAGAAGGAAAAGAAAAGCAATTTCAAGATAAACCATGTCAAAACACAATATATGTGTCACTTATAGAGAAAGATGACACCGAAATGAATCAAATGATATAATAGAATCATGGTTATAACTAATAGAGCTAGCAGGAAGGCAACTGATATATGAGCTTTTTATTTGTTTGGTATGAAAATTAAAAAATACCCTCAAAATTAAATAATATTAATAAACAAACCATGATGAAATTATAACCAAGCCCCTAAAGTCAGGGCTAAGAAATTCAAATTGTAATAATAATGTAATAATTTAATTGTTCAATAAAATTTAAAAATATAAAATTGTCTGAGGCATTGTATTATTTTATTAAAGAGATATATTAGTAATTTTATCATGTATCTAAAAATCAAATTATTAAAATAACCTTATATAATTCTCAAAAAATATTTATATTACAGTAAAAAAAAACTATCATACTCAAAGACAAAAAAATAAAATAACAAAGGAAAAAAAAAGTTATAACACTATTATAATGAATATTATTTATACGTGTTGAGACAGCAAAACCCCAGAGAGTCAGTGATTTGAATAATAATAATAATAATAATAATAATAATAATAACAATAATGTTGTTGCAAAGGGGCATCTAGAAGATCTACTTTTAAGATGTCAAAGCAAATTTCGTACAAGTATATGTTGACATCTAACATGTAGCAAGAACAATGCATCCCAACCTAAAGTGGAAAACAGAATAAGGCATTAGAGAATGTCTCCAGCAAATTGACTTGCTTTTTGTGAGCTTTTCCAACTAATCAAAAGCATTTGTTGGCAAACCAGGGAACTTCAATTATGGCATTGGCTGGAAAGCCAAAAACAAAGACAAAATAATATTATAGGAATTTGTTTTTTAAGGATAGCTGTGTCCTTGTATGAGATTTTAAGTAAATCATGCACATCAAGGCAATGCATTTACAAGAAACAATTTTTTTTGGTTACCCATTTAAAATTCAAATCTTGAAAATAATAACATGAGACTATATCCCCTCATCAACCAAACCATGTCTTTGTCTTGAAAAGCAGACAGAGGAATGAGTCCAATTCAGGCTTCAATTTTCGTTTTTTCTAATCTTAATTAATAAATTAGTATTTATTTTGGATTTACCAAAGTCAGGTTTGGTCACCAACAAGCTTTCGTCTTGATTTGAATCTTTCTACTTTCTAGGAACATTTTGGACTCACTAAAGCCTCATTTTGCTGAGATGGCCGAAGGAATCATGAAAAGTGCAATACGGTGCTAATTCAAGACTAAATTATCTAAAAATGACCATGAAATTTGTTTTATAGTTTTTTTTTAATAATTTAACCTTAATTCAATTGTATTCTCCTTCTAATCAAAGCTGGCGTTTTCCTTTTCTGTTAATTATTAACTACTAATGTTAATCCATCACTGTTAACTGGGTTGTAGGATTCATCCATGGCAATACAAAAATAAAGAATAAAGAAGGGTCTGAAGTCTGATCATCACAAGTAGTCAGTGTATAATTGGTTGGTCATCAAATCCTTAACCCTCCTAAACTTACTTGAATGACTTTTTAGACTGTTCCTCAAATTGGACCAGTCTTCGGTAAACAAGACGGATGGTGACATAGAGGAGACCTGGCATGGCAGTTAAACTGCGGCTAAAACTTCTTTGTTGTCTCCTTGTATATTATACGTTACATAGCTTGCCAATATGCTAGCTGCTCTTCGTGATATTCTTGATTAGCCACCCCTCTCCAAGACTACCAAACTGACTTTCGAGCTCTTTCTAGGCCCTTTCTCCTTCATCAGGTTAGCTTGTCGGCGTTCCCGTAACTGTTTCTGTTTCTTCTTTCTTTTTGCTGTTTAACTTGTCGGAGTTAATGAATAGTAGTTCTTTTGTTGGTGTTTTTAAGCATAATAGACTGACTTCATTAAATTTTTTTAATACAGTTGCCTTAACTTTTATTTACCACAACTTGTTCTCTTTCTTTCTTTTTTCCTTTTCCTTTGTTTTGGATATTCGAATAATCTCCCTGTGCCTGTTGAGGATGAGGAAGTTAACTACATGCATGTGTTAGGTTGAGCCACCATTGTTAATCTTCAAGTTTTAGAATCGTTGCTGAACCCCACAGTAGGCATGCTCCATCATGTTAATAAGCTCTGTAAACACGGTTTTTGTTTATTTGAATCTTTTTGCTTATAATAATCTGTGTAGAAAACTTGTTTGCAATTGGTTACTGATGCTTATATATGATCAAAGAAAAAGATTTGAGAAGCTTTTGAGACATAGGTTCTAGCCTGAACAGCAATTTCTGTACTTGTTGTGTACTTGGGTTTCGAGTCTAAATATTCCATAAAATATACTCATGGTCTCTCTGTGTGATTTACATGGTTAATGATGTTATTGCAGGATATCAGTACAGACGGCAGGAGGAGGATCTACTCGCATCCATGGGGAAGCACTCGGAGCGCAAAGCCTCCGATGTTGGATTTGAGGACTGTCGTCCAGGTTGCATGTGGGGCATACTTCATATTCTTGACTACCATCTCTGTCACAGTCCTAAAAAGTTACCTCCACGCAGAAAGCATGGAAGAGGAAAACATGTTAGATGTAAGCCATCTGAATTTGGTTCCTCCCCTCATCATGTCTCCATTTTTTCTCTTAATTTTTGTCATCTTGACCGGAGTAATATAGCGTGTATTTTTTATAGGAACATGTGAAATATCGGGTCTGTGTTATTATTGTATTATAGTATTAGGTTCTATAGAGTTGATTGGTATGCATCATGGTAGAAGAAATCGTCGTATTTAAAGATGGATATAATTTTATCTTGAAGATTTGAAGAGATTTGGAAATTATTTTGCGTAGATTGCTTGATGTGATTTGTTCATGGGCGGATACAAGATGCTTTACTTGCACGCGCGCGCACATACACAGTAAACTGCTGTTTCTTGGTATTAAATCGTCCAGTCCTGTTTTATCAGAACTTGTTCAATTGGCCATGCTGGCCTGATATGTACTGGTTCTGCCTGATAAGCAGTATTGTCCACACGAAACTGATACAACTTGATCCAATAAATAACTCACTAAATGAGTGTTCCCGGAACCATTTCAATGATGTTTTTCCGACCACTGAGGTTCGGAGGATCTAATGGAATCATCAGTTGGTTCAACTTTGGGGAGAGATGTGTTCTTTCACCTAGCAAATTACGTCTTTTTCTCTCTTTTCTGAGCAATAGAAATCAATACCCTTGTCAATATCTGTAAAGTGCTTTTCATCCCCTTTTATGCACCGAGAAACCTTATTTCTTATTTTGCAGGCTGCCAAAATCCAAGAAAAATTTCTTGTGATCTTTACACTGATGGCGTACAAGAATATTTGAGTGCTAAAGCAGTCCCCTTGCTGGTAAGTCCACATTACAGATAGGATGCGTGGGTATGAATGCATTTCATAAATAGACATTAATATTGATGAATGCATGTTAGTTTTACCCTAAAAATTGCTTCTTTTGTATGACAAACTATGAAACAGACAATAACTTGGTGAGAAATTGGTCAGGTTGAACAGCAAACTATAAAGACTAGCTCAACAGACAGAATTACCAGGAAGGCCCAGATAAAAGCTTTAATTGCTAAGGAGATATTTGCAAGAACCCGGTTGCAGCAAACTGATCCAGTCCACCAATTAGGACCTTCACACAATTGCCTTGCTACTACAATGGATAGTGATTTGTCAAATCCAATCATAATCCTCCACAAAAGTGCTGATACTGGTGCCTCCAGATTGCAGGTTCCATCTGTGTCCAAGACACCTGAAGAATTAGTTGCACACAATAATGCATATCATCTGCCTGGCACCGTGAATGCTGAGGACTGCTCAAAACAAAATCAACTTTCAGCAGAGGATGCATTTTCCTTGGAGAACTGTGCTAACTTATTAAATCATACCCTTTCACATACTAAGCGTCTCAACAGAGAAATTTCATGCCCTCAGTTTAAGGAGAGTGTGGATGTTCTGGAGATCCTTAAGTTAAATGAAAAACTGTTGGTGGAAATCCTAAAGGATCAAGACATTCAGAACACCCATGTCCAGCTGCCTTCCAGAGCAAAAGTAAGATTAAGGAGGTCTGGATCATTTCCTGCAGCTGACTGTTCACACATTAGATTTGTTAGGCCTAGTAAAATTGAGCACAAGCAGAAGGAAAATTGGTCCTTTCCAAAGGGGGTGAAGTCATCCATCGGAACCCAGGCACCAAGGTCTACTGCATCCGAGTCTTTGAGAGATTTTTATGAGAAATCAATAGATTTAAAGGTTAGCGATCATGGTGTCACTTCTATTGGTCAAGAAACACAGATTTCCTCTCTCAAATCATCTCAGGGATTACATAAACACAGGTGGAATCTTTTATTTATGAGTCTTTTTAAGGGTCTTAAGAAAAAAATAAAATGCGCACTCACAGAAAGCAAAAGGGAGAGTACCCATGTGTCCACAAATGCGAGTATCTATAGAGTTCCTTCTGGATGCAAGTTTTCCACCGATGAGGAAGAGATGTATAAGAAGTTTGAGGAGAATGCAATTCATGAAGATGGTATAGAAAATCCCACAAGTTTTCAGGAGACAAATGGTTTTGATAATGATCTCAGAAAAGGTCAAGTTCCACACATAAGAAGAGGATCCTCTCTAAAGGGGTCACTGGATGGTTATACTCGATTGTTTGAGTACAGTTACAGTAAAGAAGCCAAGTGGCACCAGTATCAATCAAAAAGCTTAAAATTGTCGAGCGAAGATAAATTTCAATCGAGTGGTCTGAAATCATTCAGAAGGAGACTTTCTTTGCCAGATTTTGAGTCTATATATCACATTCCAAGTGAGTTCTCAGGTGATGCACTTAGTCCAAGGACGTCAACTATGACAGGAATGGACTCTGATGCAAATTCTAATAATGACATTCATAATCACTTGGAGTCAGCAAGCATTCCTGAAGTTAGAAAACAATTCAAACGACAAGATACTATTGAAGAGGCTGAACTTCAGAGAGGCATGGTTGAAAGAGTTGGCAGCATGGACAATAATGAATTTTCGTGCAGTTCAATGGTAAGTATCAATGAAGGAAGTGCTATGACAAGTGAACTAAATCAGGATACAATGAAACCTGAAAGGCAAGAGCAGAGTCCTCAGAGTAATCAGGGGATTGGTTCAGTGATCACCACCATGGGAGAGCATGAAGAACAAAGTCCAGTTTCAGTTCTCCAGACTCATTTTCGAGATGATAGAACTTGCCAAATAGGGTTCCAAATGTCAGAAGGTATGGCACACCATCTCCTCTTACAAAATAATTTTATGCAAGGCTCGTTTTTTTTCCTTTTTCTTTTTTCGGGGGATATGTTGTGTTCAACCAATACCGTATATTATTGGCCTTGCAAGATATATGAACAGCTTTGATTGCATAGATTTAGTGAAATAAAATTCTATAGACTTGCTAATTTGACCACTCTTGTAATTCAAATCGTGTGCTGGAAATACCGTAGTCAAATGTGACAGGTTGATCTCAACAAAAATATCCATCCTGTTCCCCCCCCCCCCCCCAAAAAAAAATATATACTAATCTTCTGTCAGCGTGATTTTATTGGTAGTTAATTGGTTTCCCAAAATTGCATCAGGTTTTGATCTGGATCCTAGCCGTGAGAATGTAGAAAACGCAAGCACAATGGTTGGTCCTCGATTCCTTCATTTTGAATTGAATAGGCTAGAAGATGATGCCGATTTCAATTATGTGAGAGATGTTCTTGAGGTGTCCGGCTTCAATGGGCCAGAGTTCCTTGGAACATGGTATTCATTAGAGCAGCCATTGAGTCCAACATTGTTTAAGGCTGTGGAAGCTTATTGGCACAAAGAACTTGAATCTCCCTCAGAGGATGTTGCCTACAATTGTGATCACCTGCTTATGTTTGACTTGATTAACGAGGAACTGCTTGAGATATATAACAGCTTATTGGCCTACTTCCCCAAGCTCTTCTCCTTCACTCAACGTGTCAGTCCATTGCCCAGGGGAAGACATGTTATTGAGGAAGTGTGGAAAAGAATTAGCTGCTACAGGAAGTCAAGATGGGAAATGGAGCAATCAACAGAAGATATGGTAGCTCGGGACTGGGAAAAAGGTGATGGTTGGATGAAACTTCGATTGGATGCTGAGGATGTAGCACTAGACCTGGAAGATTTAATTTTCGATGAACTGGTAGATGAAGTTTTATGTTCATATATTCGACAGACAGTTGAGGCCAGATGAATCAGCCTTGTCAAGGAGTACTCCTGCTTCAAGGCTGCTACTATACATGGAAGTCATGTTTACTTTGCCTCGAAAAACATGGTTTCTTGATTGCCAAACTACACGAGAAGAATTAACTACAGGGAATTTCATTACAAATTCAGGGTTTTCTGTATGCTTCTTTTGGAGAATTTAGAGAGAATACTAGATGAAATTATTATTCATTTAGTTAATGTGACTAAAGAGCTGTATAATTGGTGCAATTCTTTGAAATGATACTTGTAGTTGTGTGCAGCATCCACACTGCAGCTTGCGTAGCTTGCTGCTGCTCTGTTTTTGGATTTATTTTATTTTAAAAAATATTAAATTTATGTTTTTTTTATGATTTTGTAGTTCTGATAAAAAATATTTTAATATATTTATAAATAAAAATCACATTTAAAAAATACTTCCACCACAATAACAAAAACTTTTTTATAACAAAAAATGCATTGGTTAGTTATAAAAGATACAGACCATGACATACCATTCTACTTGTGCGAATCTAGCTCTGAAAATTTTCCTCGCTAGGCAGCTGAGGAACAACTTGATTTAGAAATAGAACCTAAGACTAACCTTGAACTATCAACAAATAGTCGATAGTCGTACAAGCAACTAGCTTGACTTCACCTAGTATTTCCAACATTAAATAAAAAATATTTAAAATAACATTCATTATTAGTGATAGACTAATATTCTTTTTTCGCGTTGTGTGGGCAAGACAAATTTTAAAAAATATATATAAAAAAAACATAAAAAATAATAATCTGAATCAATTTAGATTAACTTAATAAACATGTGTAATATTAAATTAAGATACCTTATAAAATAAAAAAAAATACAAGTATAAGGCTCAATAATATAATATCAAATAATAAAATTAAAAAAATCAATTTAAATAAAAAATTCAAGTTAACTAGAGTTCACTTTACCAACCTGCCACCCGTGACATGAGACAAGAATAAAAAAAATTATTAAAAAAATAACTTAGAAAAAAAAAACCAAAGTTAAATAAATAAACTTTCAAAAAAAATATGAGTCACCCCAAAATAACTTAATTGACCTGTAACTTAGGATAACTTAACTATTCAATGACTCGGGATAATCCTATAGAAAGGAAAACCATAAAAAAAATAAAAAAGTTCATGATTCAATAGTTTAATGTTAAAAAATAAAACTAAAAAAAATTCAAAACAACTTGGGTTAACTAGATTGCCTCGCAACCCGGATAACCCCATTAAAAAAAAAGTTGTTAAAAGAATGAGAATTAAAATTTTATTAAAAAAATAAAATAAAATTTTAAGGGATAAAATTTTAAAAAATAATTAAGAAAATGATAAAAAAAAATTTAAAAGAATGAAGACTAAAATTGAATAAGAAATAAATGAAATAAAATGTTGAGGGGTAAAATTTAAAAAAAAATAATAAAAAAAGAGCAATTAAAAAAATAAGGATAAAAATTGGATAAAAGAAATAAATGAAATAAAATGTTGAGGGACAAAATTAAAAAAAAAAAGAAACAAATTGAGAAAAGAATTGAGAAAAATAATCAAAAGAATGAGTACCATATTTAATATAAAAAATTAAATAAAATCAAATAAAAATAGATAAAATTGAAAAAAAATAAAATCCAAAACAAATAAAGACCAATCTACAAAAGAGGACCACAATTAAAAGAAAAAAATAAATAGGAAGACAACTCTAAATTTTGAGGGGAGGAAAGAAAAATCTCACTCCAAATGGATCGCAGCGAATTACACTACATGAGTTGCTTTATTATATGCGTTGTCGCTAAACGCTTTAAAAGACACGAATATTGAATTTTTTTGGCTATTGAAACACGCCGCACACATCTTTAAATGACATAGGCGACGTCCACTTAAAATACATGCCAACCACTTTTTTTTGTTATTCTTTTTATTTTTTAAAAGAATTATTTGCTCATATTTTAAATAGATTATAACATAAAAAATCATGATAAAAATATCAAAATACTTCTTGACTCCTTATTTATTTTTATTTTTTACTTGAAAGATAATGAAGTAATTTTACTATTTTTATTAAATAAAACTACACAAAAGCCCCTCTTGTCCTTTAATTTTTTGTATACTTTTTAAGAATATTTATACCATTTAACTATGAAGAAAAATTAATAAACCATTGTACGCCCAATTAATTTCATAATACCAAAAAAAATTACCGAAAGAGCTCATCTTGCCCTGTAGAAAGGCCATTTGTTTTATGTATTGAAGGGAAATGACGTCATTATCCAGAGTGCAAAGTGTTTAACCCCACAGTAAAAGATGGAAAGGTTTTTTTTTTTTTAATGCAGATATATTATCTTCATATATATATATATAGACATCATACAATATTAATATTATTATGCATGAAAAAGACTAGAGATTGCAAAAAAGTATGGAGATACTAACTTAATGGATTAAGAGCAAAGGACTCATTAAACCAAATTAAATTGTGAAGGGATTGAACTAAACCAAATCACAGAAGTACAGAGATCATTATAACAATAGTACTATTATAGCTATTAATTGGCATATACTAAAATAACTCCTTCTTTTACTGTAGCATGATTACTATTTGCCATCTCACGTAGCACCGTGTGTATGAGCTTTGAATTTTTTATAAAATTATAATTTGGACTTTGAATTTTTTATTTTACATAGTTTAACTTTTTTAGACTAAATTAGCATCTATTTACGTATTTTTTTAGGGAA